CTGGAAGAAGGAACCATAAATACATGATGAGTTCCTCATTACTACAATGAGTTAAAAGAGTCTTTAACCCTACTGCCTAGAGTAGGCTAAATTCAGTCACTTCTGGCTGAGACACAGCCCTGTCAATGCAGATATATATTTCCAAAGTGACTTATTCTCAAAAAGCATAAATGCCAGTGGTTCTAATGTGAGCCTCTGTAATTTTAATAGGTCAGGATATCAATACAGTAATTGTAAACAACAACAACAAAAAGGGGAGCCTGGGGGGGGGGGGGGGGGGGGGGGATAGTAAATTCCTTCTTATGACTTTTTTTTCTTTCTTCTAAAGCCGATATTTAAAGTTTTCCCATACGCCTCACCGATAGAGATCACACCATGAGTGACCCAATACATATTATTGGTGATGGGTGGGTGGGGGGGGGGGGGGGGGTGTATTCCATTTAATGCTTTATTCTGTCCTTGCTTACTGATTACTCCTGTTATACATTATTATATATATTTTTTTTAATTCAAACATACATAAATATATTGTTAGTGGCCTGTGTAAAATGGTCGAGTTTTTTGGATTTTTCAGGAAAATTCCTGTAGTTCATAAAATAGATTTGTTTCTCTCTTTTTAGCATTTTCAGAGCAAAGGGGGTTAACGCACAAACTAGGTAAGCACAGAAGGTCAGCAAAAGATCCCTTCCTGCAACCATGCAGTGGTGTATTTGTAGTGTTACATAGTGTGGGGATTGGACTTTTGTCAAAAATGACCTTGGCTCCCAGGTCAACTTCAGCCGTGAGTGGGTAGCAGGTACAGTACTGTGAAGTTGAGGCTGCAGACGTGATGCTGACCATATCATCCCCCAAGTGTCATTTGGTCTATAAAATATGGGTCTAGCCCTATATACCCTATACACCAGAAGGCGTGGAAAAGGGTCCTTGTCTTACTAGATTTGCAGATAGCTGTTAACGTTCTCTACACATCTGCTGACATCAATATAATTTTTGTTAATGCCAATCAAAATTCACTAAGTCCATTTGAACTGCACAAGCACAACCATATTATCACGGTCTGAACGGTGCAGCAGGAAGTGACCAGGAGATCTGGTTAACACTCAACACTAAGAGCAAAGACAAGAGATTTACAATCAGATGACTACGAGATCTGGTTAACACTCAACATTAAGAGCAAAGACAAGAGATTTACAATCAGATGACTACGAGATCTGGTTAACACTCAACATTAAGAGCAAAGACAAGAGATTTACAATCAGATGACTACGAGATCTGGTTAACACTCAACACTAAGAGCAAAGACAAGACATATACAATCAGACTGCTACAGGTAACATCAGAATTGTGTTGGCTGCTGAACATAGGGACAGAACACTTATGGTATTGTACTAAGTGCTGCGATGTCACTCTTAACTCAACTCAGCTCATTCTTACAGTCCTCAAGCTGCACTGCCACTGCTTCAGTGAAACATATCACTGTGGTATCAAATGCTGCTTGCTGCTTCAGTAAACTGGACAAGTCTCTACATACCACTTATTTTTATTTTTTTCAAGAAGAGGCTTAGACCCGGTCCAACTATCTGTATTGATGCTGACTTCTAGTCCAATATAGCAGAGAGACAGGTTTACTGTTTTCGGTCATGGCAAGTTTTTGCTTCTGTCAATGGCTAGGCAATGCATTTTATGCCACATGTGGACTGAAAGTATATAGTTCCATCACCCAATTAGTGAGTTTTCTGCATGGCCCAAAACTTTGAACTGCAGATTTTATTCTTTAATGCTTTTTTACTGTGCCAACCATAGTTTGCATTGTAAAATGAAGATTCTTAAAGTGGCGAGTGACCTGTTCCGATAGTGGTGTCTTGCGCAACTAACTGCATGTGCAACTACTGATATGTAACTGCCGCTTGGAGAAAGACAACAATACTGTCTTCTACTGAAGTATCGAAACATTGGAATGATTACATGTTTCTTTACTGGTAACATGTTTCTATACTGACCTGTCTCAGAATTCACTATTTGTGTTCTCTAATCTATACAATAAAACTGGCCCCAAAATAATCTGCTAACTAGATTACTGTTAAACCATTCTGATGCAAAAGTTTCTGCAGTCTTAGCTAAAATTCAGCAGAGTTGCATACATCACAAACTTAACTGCTTGTAAATGCAGAAATATTAAACAATAAAACAACATGATAACTGTAACAAAATCGTAATATGATTTGAATAAATACCTTAAGAAATATTGCAACCAAGTTTAAAACAGTTTTTAAAAAACATACAGAAAAGACTACATGGTGATGACATATTACAGGACATATCTAGTTTGAAAAACAAGTTACCCTGAAGATCAATAAAAACACTGTTAGCAATAATTATATAAAAAAAATTTTAAGAAGTAGTTTCGCAATTCATGATAATTTTAACATGTAAATCTTTTATGCTAGTGTGAAAGCTAGGGAAAACTACCACATACACATCTCAAAAATATGTTTATGGACAGTCATGATTTAAGGTTTACACAGTGATCTGTTTGTAAAAATGCAACAATTAAGTCTCTGGATTTAATAATTTGATATGATAACATTACTAATGATAAGTATGATGATATTTTTTTTTTTTTTATATGTTTAAAATGATAAGAAATAGAAAAACATTTTGTTGGACAATGAATTTAAAAATTATGAGCTTTCAACTATAATATGTATTGCTTCAATCATACTGTGACCATATACCTGTTGGCCTGACAGCCCTTTCATGATACAAAGATAATCATCAGTTTAAAAAAGAACAAAACTTCAATAAAACATCATTTAGTAAAACTGATCTACCATTAAGTGAAATGTATCAACTGACTGTATTTGCAACAATATTTTTAAGTGCAAAGTCTACACCAGTATCTCTCGCCTTCTCTCACCACATATTCACAGACATTATAAATGTAATCTCAATAATGAGACTGCAAAGTCTGTGATTAACTGACAATATAACACTAAATGAATAAAAGGAATAGCAGCTTAAGCTACTTTGCTTCATAATGATTTCCTTAGTTAACACCTTGTTTCACACAAAGATCATGTCATTACTTTTTGTCACACACATCTCATAAGTCATTACTTTGTGTCACAAAAATTGCGTAAGTCATTAATTTGTGTCACAAAACATCAAAAGTCATTACTTTGTTTGAAAAAAAAATGTGTATGAGTCATCTATTGATTTCAAAAAATTTTTTATGAATCATTACTTTTTTCCTCACAGAGATCTCATGAGTAATTACCCACCACGTGTCACAGAGATCTCATGAGTAATTAACTACTGTGTGTCACAGAGATCTCATGAGTAATTAACTACTGTGTGTCACAGAGATCTCATTAGTAATTAACTACTGTGTGTCACAGAGATCTCATGAGTAATTACCCACTGCGTGTCACAGAGATCTCATTAGTAATTACTCACTGCGTGTCACAGAGATCTCATTAGTAATTAACTACAGTGTGTCAAAGAGATCTCATGAGTAATTACCTACTGCATGTCACAGAGATCTCATGAGTAATTACCCACTGCGTGTCACAGAGGTTTCATGAGTAATTAACTACGGTGTGTCAAAGAGATCTCATGAGTAATTAACTACTGTGTGTCACAGAGATCTCATTAGTAATTAACTACTGTGTGTCACAGAGATCTCATGAGTAATTACCCACTGCGTGTCACAGAGATCTCATTAGTAATTAACTATGGTGTGTCACAGAGATCTAATGAGTAATTAACTACTGTATGTCACAGAGACCTTATGAGTAATTAACTACTGTGTCACAGAGATGAGTAAATTACTGTGTGTCACAGAGAACTCATGAGTAATTAACTACTGTGTGTCACAGAGATCTCATGAGTAATTACCTACTGTGTGTCCCAGAGATCTTATGAGTAATTAACTATTGTGTGTCAGAGATCTCATGAGTAATTAACTACTGTGTGTCACAGAAATCTCATGAGTAATTAACTACTGTATGTAACAGATATCTGTGGAGTAATTACCTACTGTGTGTCACAAAGATCTCATGAGTAATTACCTACTGTGTGTCGCAGAGATCTCATGAGTAATTACCCACTGTGTGTCCCAGAGACCTCAAAAGTAATTACCTACTTTGTGTCACAGAAATCTCATGAGTAATTAACCACTGTGTGTCACAGAGATCTCATGAGTAATTAACTACTGTGTGTAACAGAGATCTCATGAGTCAGTTTTGTTTCAAAGAGAATCAATTTTCTCAATTTATACAACATATAAGATGAACATTATGACTTACATTTTATTTCATCTGAATTATTGAACTGGTAAGTGATCACTGCAGCTAAACAAACAGAATTTAACTGTCAGTATTTCTTATCATACAGCTTTTAAGAACACAGTAGTGAATTAGTTCTTGATGTTAGTTCTTGATAAAGTCAAACACAGTAGATTTACCTTACTGTTTATTCTTCTTCTTCTGCTTCATGTTTACAGGCACTTAACTGGCTGCTTGTCCCCTTCTGAACTTTAGTCTTGTCCTAAGACTTGAGTTTTGGGTGCATATCTGTTTTACAGATCTAGCTAACAAGAGCGTAGATTGTTGGTTCCTTGCCTCTCAGACAGATGCACTCTGACATTGAAGGAACCCTTATGTTTGAAACAGCACATGCAAAGATATGTAGACTGGTTATTTCACTAGAACAAACTCACACAGATCAATGGATTACCAAATACAATTGTTGGCAAGCTATAATTATCAATCTAAACATCGTTCTTTTCCATCCACTTTTAATGGCTACATATTTAGCTGGAAAGAAGCTAAACTAAATTATTACTACAAGTACAATAAACTACATTCTTACATAACACACAACTTTTACCACACAGAAACAGTTGAGACCAGCAGGTATCTACACATTTTTAAGTTACAGTCTGATTCGTTGTGAAATTTATTTGTAGAACTGACTCCATCAACATAAGCCGTTTTGAGTCACTCATCATCAATGATTATTACACTGTTTTTATCTGAGTTCTCCTGCGTTTCTGAAAAATGAAACACATGTCACTGTGAGTTTCAAAAAGTAAAAGGAGTATCATTGGTGCAAAATAACATGCTCCCCAAAAAAAAGTACAAAACAGATTCTTTAACTTCACTTCCTCTTTTACCACTTTAGGTGTCGACAGAGATTTCAGATTCTGCTTGCTGCCCTTCTGATCGTCTCAATCATTAAACACATTCACAATAACTGATTCCTCCAAATTTTTAAAGCAAATGCTTAGGAAAAAATCAAGTATTACTGGAATTATTTCATTTATTAATAAAGATTATCAGTATTATAAGAACCTAAGTAGAACTAACCAGAATAGCCCTTCTGGTGACTAAGGAGAGTTTTTACTGTGAACAGTCAGTCCAGGCTTTAGAGGGTTCAATGAAAGCAGTCAATTCACCTCCTATTACACTGACTTTGTAGATGTAACACTTCACTTCACATCACATCCTGAAGTAATAAAGGCACTTTGAGATTTGTAACTGTTTCTTCCTTCTATGTGTAATGAAGATATGCAGTATTTAAGAAGTGACTAAGTTACAGATCTTTACTTTCTTTAAACTAAACAATGAACCCCTCAACACTCTCAGGATGAAACAACTCATCCTAATTTTTTTCTTTCTACTGCCCTTTATTCCTCAATGGAGCATTGGCACTCAACCAACCTAGGCCAAGCCGTCCTATCCTTTGCCATGGCAGCAAATGTGTCTTTTTAATGCCAAAGATAATCCGATGTTCATGACATCTTCTGTCACTGAAAGATGTTATATTAACACCTTGTAATTGAATTATTATTTATTTCTCATAGTGTCTCTTCTTGTGATAACAGTTAACATAATAACTCTTAGGGTCTGAATGAGTTATGTTGGTAATTCTGGTGTATCCGATTACTCTGAAGTTAGTACTTTTATTCAGACTGTACAGGAGTCACAAGGTTTTGTCCTTAAAGTGAACAATTTTCAGTAAAAGATTAAACCTAATTTCATACATTACTTTAATGAAATTACAAACTTTTCAGAAATTCTGTTCTGAATATTTTCTAATACTCCTTACTTTGCCAAAGAAAAGAGTATCAACTGATTCCTTCTGTGACATGTAGTAACTGTGTTGCGGCTCATGCTAAATTTTCAGAAGGTAGACTTGCAACAGTCTTAAATTCACTTATTGTAATACCTCTCCAGCTGAAAACTCTAGACAGCATGCTTCCTTTGCTTCTGGGTCATTTGGAACAGTTCTAAGACAAGAAACAGCCATGCATGAAGGTTCAATGTGATCGGTATCAAGAACGTGCAGGTGGAAGATAGCCCTCTCACGCTTCGATAAACTGCTTGCAGCAACGCTCTTTAGCCACTGAAGAGTACTTTTACTGCATGGAGAGAACTCTTACAAGTGCAACAATGCAAACCACAAGTATGTTAGTTAGTTAGTTAGTTAGTTAGCTAGTCGAAAGACTATCTTCACTGCACATCAGATAAGTCCATAATCGCTCAAATCCAATCTTCAGTATATCCCTTAGCGTGTGGCGACTGATAACACCAGTTCTGTGTTGGTTTACTATTCTTCTTTGGATACCCGTATAGTGTTCATGTTTGGCCACACCTCTTTTGACCTGAAATTCTTGTAGTCTTTTGAATGTTGCATATTCAACGTCGTCCCCAGAATAATTTTCTCGTCCTGTATCCTTAAGAGCACTGAGAATGTTGGCACCCATCATGGCCCTGCCTGCAAGCCAATCCGCTCGTTCATTCCCTCTTACCCCAAAGTGTCCTGGCACAAAAATGTGTACCTAGTCACACTTGTGCAGTCCTTTCGATATTTTGGACAAAATTCAGTTCAGCACTTTTGACCTTTCTCATCAACAATGATTTTAGGGTTTCTTTTGGATGTTTTGGCTTCTCAACCCTTTTATTTCCCATTTCAGTGCAAGCTTGTTGATTCTCTGCTCATTTCTTCTTAGATTTGCCCACTACAGTTCCATTTTGTGTATCTTAAATCTGTTGTTACCAATGGTTGCCCAGAAAGGTTTCTTATTTCTTCACCCCTCTTGAATTCATCCCATTTTATGTTCAACATCTTCCTCAGGCATTTGTTTTCAAATGCATTTAATTTTTGTTCCATGTCTGTAGTGGTTCTCCAATTTTCCCTGGCATAAGTTCAAACTGAACTAACATTGGAATTCAAAATATACAACCTGACCTCTCCTGTAAGTTTCTGCAGCACACACAAAAATAAAGATGCAAGAAAAATTTGAAGAGTGAGGAGTAGGACAAAAAGAAGAAGAAAAAGAAGAAGAAGAAGAATAGGAAGAGGAGGAGGAGAAGAAGGAGAAGGGGAGGAGGAGGATAAGAAGAAGTGGAAGAGGAGGTGAAGGAGGGGGAGAAAAAGAAGAAGAAGAAAAAAGAAGAAGAAGAAGAGGAAGAGAAGAAGGAAGAATAAGAAGAAGAAGATGAAGAAGAAAGAAGAAGAAGAAAGAAGAAAGGAGAAGAAGAAGAAGAGGAGGAGGAGAAGAAGAAAGGAGAAGGAGGAGCTGAAGAGTGAGGAGTAGGGCAAAAAGAAGAAGAAGGAGGAGAAGAAGGAAGAGGAGGAGAAGAAGGAGGAGGAGGAGGAAAAGGAGGAGGAGGAAAAGGAGGAGGAGGAGGAGGAGGAGGAGGAGGAGAAGAAGAAGAAGAAGAAGAAGAAGAAGAAGAAGAAGAAGAAGAAGAAGAAGAAGAAGAAGAAGAAGAAGAAGAAGAAGAAGGTGCATAAAACATATCTGTTTCTGTAAAATATTATTGTGCCCAAGTTAAACAGCTGATGCGTTACACATTATTCAATGTATGGCTTCTTATAAAAGACTTACCTTCATTTGGTGCTGTATTCTTTTCCTGATGCAACTTACGCACTACACTTTCTAGCTTGGGTAGTGCTACTTTACTTGCTGGTCCCGGGGTTGGCGAGCTCTTTCTACGTTTCTGAGCACCTACACATGCTGGAGACTGCTGGTTCAATGATGGTTGATCTGCTGCTGCATCAGAAGACCTTTTACTGAACATGTAATTCAGCTGGGGAAAGTATGCTTCCAAATCATCTACTCTGATTATTTTATTACATTTCAGTTTTTTAACAGGAAGATTATAGTACTGAACAAAGGCTGCCTCTTCCTGTGAGGTACATTCATGCAAGCTGACTTTAAGAACCACTTGTAGAACCTTCACAAATTCTGTTAAGGGAACTGAGGGAAAGTACAACTTGGACACAGCTTCAACAAGGCAGAAACTTCCTTTTCGATGTGGTAAATTTACATTGATGCAAGAAATACTCTTGCCATTGATCAGACAAGCAGATATATTTTGTGACAAGTCAGTTACTGAGCAAGTGTTGCCAGAAGCAGCAGTGGGATTATCTGCTGAAATATTCTGCTGGAGAAAATTCGCCTCTGGTTCTAAGTGTGAAGTCTCTGGATGCTTGTTATCAGATGAACAACCTCTGAAATGTGTTAAAGACTCTCCACTAGCAGGCAGATGAGTAGTGGTTTTTGCTGACATTTGATATGCATCTGCAATAGTTTTCTGAATGCTTGACTCATTTCTTGCAGCGTAAGAACTGTCAAACTGATTGACTCCAAATGGAAATGATAGAGAATTCAAATACTGTGACGGAGTTAGTGGAAGCCTGTTCAGGGGAGAGGGGTACTTTACTGCAGATGCAGGAAGATCTTTACTGGCCACTTGTGAGACAGGAGGTCTGTGTGGTGAATAAATTGGAGATCGGAAATGCGAATGGGTCATATTCAGTTGAGCAGAAGTGTTTTTGCAGTAAAGCATAGGATTGGATGGAAGACTATGAGACTGAAATGCTGATGAATGTGGAGGGTCTGGAGTTACTGGTGGAGTTTTTGACATCATGGAATTAAGAACACTGTTAATGTGTGCTGGGGGTGGTGCCCTAATCCATAATGATCCAGGAAAACCCTGCTTTACTGAGCCATCTAAGCTTTTCTCTGCTACTGCCTGTCTATGAGGATTCTGAAATCGAAAAGCATCCATGTTTAATCCAGCATAAGGTCCTTGAAGGCGCATTCTTGTTGGAGAAGGAGGTTCCCAAAGACCTGTTATCCCACTCGAAATACCACTGAGACCACCTGACATAGTCATCTGTGAAGGATGAAAAGCTGGATGAGCCAAGCCGGAAATGTATGGGTTCAAATCTCCTGTATTAACTGATATGTGATCCAAGACACTCTGTAGAGGTTTCGATAATGGTGAAGGTTGTTGCTGGACAGATTCTGTAGTGCTGAGAGGGGCTGGCATCAATCCCATAAGTGGGATTGATGAATACTGTCCAGTACAAGGGTCCAGATAACGTGCATGCTGAAGTGGATTTTTAAATGGCAGCTCAAAAATCTGAACCTGGCATCTGTGAAGAACTTCAGAAACAGATATGAGACGGGTGCTTTTGCCAAACATAAAATCAAATCCTGCAACTTTGCAAGTTTCATTAAGCATTGCACATTCTTGAGGTGTGGGTAGCAAGCCATGTATATTAGAATTGGTCAACAGCCCAGCAGCATACATAATAACTGACAGCGGCACTAACTTGACTTGTCTCCCATTGTCAATTCTCACGATGTATGGTGAAACAGTATTGTTTATTTGAATCCAGCCACAAAACTGGGACAGGTCAGTTTTTACTGGTGCAGACACACCGGGAGCTGCTGGTTCTCCGCCTATTTTAGAGAGAAAGTCTTCCGGAAATGTTTTTTTTACTATGTTAAAGAACTCCACAAACTCCTCGAGGTCAACGATTAAGTCTTTAACAGTAAAGGGATTGTGTCCATATTCGAAATCACAGTGTGTTGTGTTTATCTCATTCAATAAGTTGGCCTCAGATTCTGTGATGAAGTAACTGACAAGAGGATCTTTTTTACCCAGTTCATCTGGAAATGTGTTTGGGTACTTACTCAGCAATTTACGCTCTACAATGCGAACTGAGACAAACTTTTTCTGTTGCCTCAAAATGCATGGAATATTGGTGTCGTCCACTGTCTCCCAGCCAAAGATACCTTTGACACTATCACTGTCTATGGGCTCCTCCTGAGAAGCATTCCCATTCTGCAGTGCATTCTGACTTGTTTCATTACAACACACAAGGTTATATGGAACTTGCATAGATCGTGACTCTTCTCGTGTATCAGTATTTTGAGATGCATGTGAAATTTCCAGAGGTGATTTTGTCCCGTCAAGTGTCGTGTGCACACTTTTCTGAGATGATTCTGATTTGACCCGCATAGGCAAACTGGAACTCAGCTGAATGGATAATAAAAATAAGAAAGACTCAATAAAAATAGATATTACATATATTTTAAAACTACAATAATTTAAAATAAAACGCTGTTACTTTTTATGGAAGAACATTAACATAGAAAAGCAAGGTGAGGGAGATGTTAGATCTATTTTCAGTAATCAGATAGTACCAACATTTGAATATGGAGATTATTACACCAGATGCCAGTTTTCCCAATTTCTATTAGCAGTTTTAACATGCTACAGGTTTTCAACAAATTTATACTAAGTCAATCCACTGTGTGAAATGGCCTGTTTATGTCTTTATCTCATTAACTATTCTATAATAATACAAACATAGGTAGATTTGTTTGACATTTTTCTCTTCAACTATGTATGTGTCAACTATTTCCATTTTAGTTTGTCAAACTGTTAACATATTTTCTCATATTACATTTGTTTAGCATGGATGCATTTAAATGTTTTATTTTTAGGTAAAGGACCCTTTTTATGCTTACCTACATTTTTATAGACCAATCAGGATTCACTAGGTGATGTGTTCAATGCCAGGCCAGCACCCTTTACTTCCCAGGACATAATCTGGTACCCATTTTAGGCTGGTTCAACCTGGAAGCCAAGTTCAATTCTGGGAAAGGTGGGGGGGCGCGGGAGGACTGCCATGATGTCGGTCTGAAACTAAGGCCTTAAGGCTGTCAGACACAGGTTTAGCCACTGCACTACCAAAGCTCCCGGATGAAATGTGCTCATGCTTGTATTATTTGTCATTGTCTACTACTTACTTATGACAGATAATAAGTTGAGGTGTGCAAAATCTACCAGGCAGACACAGTAAAGATAATATTCATAGCTTTTAATAACCGGTGCTTATATTAAAATATTGATAGCTTCATTTTGTTGTTTTTAATAGCATCTTATTTTAAGAAGCATATTGCTTTTCCCAGTTGCTTGCACATGCAAGCACATTAACAGGGCACATTATTAAGTTTAACATCAGAAAATGTTACGTGTATGATAATAATGAGTTTTCCTTCTTCTTTCCGTGCACTGGCTGTAAACTCTGGCAGAAAGTTATGGCTGTTTGACCACTTCTGCTCCTTAGTTTTGTTAGAGAACTTGAGTTTTGCGTGTGCATAGATTTTACAGATTTAGTTTGCAGATGGTTGGTTCCTCGCTATTCAGATAGAGGCATTCCCACTTCAAAGATGTAATCCACTTATAGTACCTCTACCAGTACCTTTTAAGCTGCCATCCTTGACTGTTAGACAGACATCTTGAAGTGACAAAACACATACTTGAAATATAGTTAAATGTACACCAGTTAAGTACTGTATGGTATCTGAATTTAAAACCTGCAAACAAAAACTGAACTACAATGAAAGAACTAGGAGAAATCAAAGGGATTAATAAACAAGACAGAAATGGAACATGTCTTTTAACCAATTTTTTTTTAGATGAGATGATTCTCCAGAATAAAATGGGTGTTTCCTATTTACAAGAATTAGTTGTGAAGACTGACTTGTTTTAAGTGCCTTTTAAATATTGTCTCCAACATAGCAGTTCTGTTAGGTGTTAGGATACAAGAAGAAAATGCTAATGTTTGTTGTGTGATTTGGAAGCAGGTATGTTGTCAGGATGGAAGTAGGTGACATCTATCTAGGCTACTGTGGGGTTTTGTAAGAAAGGCTTTTTTTAGGGGGATGAATATAAAACTGAAGCTGCTTTGACAGTAGGTTGAGGATAAAGATGCAGAATTCAAAGAAGAGAGGACTATCCGAGCATGTCTTTTTTAGAGATAGTTCAGGGCATATTAACTTTTTACTAGAGATCTAATCTGGAGTTTGGTTCTCAACTTCCAAAACTACATCCAGTTGTTACACTCACCCACACTGCTATAGCTCCGTTATTTAAAACCTCTCCTCTATCAAATTACCATTATTATTACAACTCATTCTTATAAAACATTAAATAAATTTTGAAGAAAAATCATGGAAAAAGAAATAATGAAATTAATTATAAAGAGTTACATTCACTTGGTTCAAAAGGGTTAATTTAATCAAATTCCCAGCAATGTTAACCCTGAAAACATTCAAGCCGGACGCATGGGGGAGGGGTGGGGGCGCGAACTGAAAGAAAAAAAACACACATCAATTAAAACCCAACAAGGGTGTCGTGAGAGTCGACTAATTGTATGCTTCCTTCAAAGTCAGAGTGTGGCGCGGTGATTTATGTCACAGGCGTGAGGGGAAGTTAAGTCCAACATGATGTGTATAAGGAGATACTCCGTACGTCACTTGGGCGCCAGTCCTTTACTATCCTGGTTGTACGGAACCTCACGCAAGACCCCTACAGCACGTCCTCGTCGTGCGCCACGGATAATGTCTCAAATGAGCATTAACAGAGCTGTCAGGGGATCTCGGAGTTCGGCGGCCCCCAGAGGTGAGGTGTCCTTGTGGCTCTCATCAGCCCGCCCCCAAACGCTTGGGTGAAAAATGTTATCAAAACTCATTAGGAACATGAGCAGGTTTGCCAAACGTACAGCCAAAATTACAACCCTTGGTTAAAAGACTGCGGAGTAAAGAGAACAATGTTCACTGCACATCCTCTGTTAACCCTCAGTGTCATCGTCACCGCGCTGAGGTACTCCACAACAGCAACCATACATAGGCTGGCCATCCTTGTACATCCTCGGTTAACCCTCAGTGTCGACGTCACCGTGCTGAGGTTCACCACAACAGCAACCATCCATCAGATGGCTAAGCCTAAATGTCCGACAAAACTAGATCATACGGATCAAAATCTGACCATCAAAATTTGTATTGAACTGAAAAAGACCGAATGTCCACACCCAAAGACCCCACTCGCCCGAGTGTTGGGACAAAACTGATAACGATATGCCGGATGCAGGATGTAAAATTCTGTCGAGCTAACGGCTCGTCAAAGAAATCTAACGTGCGAGGAAAAAAAAAAAAATGTACATATCTGTGTGGTCACAAAAGTCCAAAACCCACGGGTTGCTCCCCGCTGACTTCCAGAGGGCGCAGCCCCTGTCGAGCGGGAGGCCTGATACGGTTGTGAGGTTAAGCAGGCATGTGCATGACGTGACGATTCCTTGGGTGAGCCCAGAACCAGAGCGCCATGTGCCGGCTCTGCATGCATGGAAGCCTCCTTGGATGGCGGGGAATGCCCATGATCTGCCCCTGCCTTCCCTTGAAGGCTAACTGTTCCACAGGGGGCTGCCCCAAAGGGGTACTCCGGGGGCAATACCTGCGGCGAAGGAGACAAAGTGGACACCACAAAAGTCAGGCAACGTCTCGACCCACCAGTCACCCTAGAAATAGGCCTGACGTCTTCCTTCGAAGTCGGAGTACAGCTGCCCAGGAGGCAGGGAAATGAAAAACGGTTGTACATGCAAAAATCAGGTCCAGGTGAAAGCCAAAAGTCCAAGCGGACGATTATCCTGGACCTTCCACTGGAATTCACAGCCGGTAATCGATATAAAAAAAAAAAAAAAGTCAGAGTGCATCTGCCTACGCGACAAGGAACCAACAATCTGCATTCAGATAAGTCAGATCTGTAAAAGTGAAACGGATATGCAGGCAACACTCAGGTTCGGAACAAGACAAGTCCAGAGATGGACGACCAACCAGAACTTTCCGCCGGAGTTTACATCCGATGAACGCGGAGAAGATGAAGAAGTAAAAAAATGAAAAGATTATAAATATTGCACAGAATAATAATGTGGGCTCTCCTCCGAACTTCTACCCCCGCAGTATTGCGGCCTGAAATATCCGTTCGGGGCGCAGTCCAATTAAAAATAAGGACTTATCGGAGTTCCCGCCGAGGAACAAATTGCGGCAAAACTAGGAGTACCTTACAATGTTTTGAGATGCAACATTGCAGACGATAGTAGCAGACGATAAAAGCGACCAGTGACAATGTCGAGCGTTTTCTGCAGACAATACTAGCAGATGATAATCCTATAAATAAACAAATCGGGGAACCTTTGAGGCCGTTAAATATTATGAATTAATCGAGTAACAGAAAGTGTATTGATTGGCACTCATAGAAAGAAGTAGAAAGATAGAAGAACACACTAGACAACATAAAAATCGAAAGCTATAGTTACCGTGCCAGGAATTGAACCTGTCACCTCCAGACGATGTTATTAGTGCACTTGTATTCATGGCGAGGTGCAGACGCCGTCTGGAGGCGACAGGTTCAATTCCCGGCCCGGTAACTATAGCTTTTGATTTTTATGTTATCTAGCAGTCTATCTTTCTACTTCTTTCTATGAGTGCCGATCAATACAATTTCTGTTACTCGATTAATTCATAGCAGATGATAAAAGCAACCGTTGACAATTTCGAGACATTACAGACGATGAAAGCGATATGGCGGGTAGACCACGCGCTCCCACGCAGATTAGCAATACTGTTCTTCCGATTGAGGATTTAGCAGCGGTAGATGTCAGACTTGTCGGCATGCGCAAAACGTGATTAAACTCACAACCGAGCGTATCCCCTGCACCGCGCCTAGCGGCGCGGATTGGGGGCTAAACTAGGTGCCTGGGACTCACGAGCAAAGTAATTGGAGGAAGTTGCAGGAGATGCGGTAGCTGCTGCTTGTGAGTCCCAGCCATCTAGTTTAGCCCCTATCCTAGGCGCGGCGCGGAGGATACTCTCGGCGGTGAGGCATAGTCACAGAAACAGGTCCGCAAGTAACTTATCGCTGAGACCCTGGTAGAGCATTTGTTTCGTTTTTCTGAGCCGATCCTAGATTTGCCGCGATTTGTTCGTCGGCAGAAAGTTCGACAATGGAAAGTGTCTACGGTCACTATTATTAGCCTCGTCTGCTACTATCGTCTGCAGTGTTGCGTGCGTCTCTTAGAATTGTGGGCAGCCGAATTGTCAGGTAATCAGAAACAATAAGAAACAGGTCCGCAAGTATCGCTGAGACCCTGTTAGAGCATTTGTTTCGTTATACGGAGCCGGCATATTT